TTGTTTTCTCGCAATTCTAGTATCTGATTTATTCTATATAAAATATTATAAAATGTACAAACCTATTTTTTAAGAATAATAATAAATACTACTGTCCATGATGTAAGAAATTAATTATATATTCATAATTTCTGATTTTTGAATATATATTTTACGAAAAATGTTATGAAAAAAGATTTTTGTATCGAAATTAGAATATATTAAAATTGTATCAAAAGAAAGAAGTAGGTTAAAAACTTTGTTTCTTAAAATTCTTTCATCATACCTCTTTCTTTCTTTCAAATCTTATTCCAAAACTTTCTATCCCGTCTTTAAAACTCGATTTCATTCTCACGTGTATATACCTGAACTCCTTTATATTTGAAACCACGTTCCAATTGCATGCAAAAATTTCTAAAGTAATATCTTAACAGAATGAAAGAGTTAATCTTTGTCTCTCTCTTTAAAAAATCCTCCGCTTTTCCTTTTTAAATAAATTAATGAACGCAGTCCAGATTATATTTCATTACATACACCATCTTCAACGATATAAAGAAGTCTTTAATTAAAGTAACAACCCCTCTAAATTTACGCAATGTCAACCATGCATTGCACGCTTTCCAATAAGGGATGAAAAAAAGATGATTAAAATATGATGATGGAAGAAATATAGCGAATTTTAAAATTAAAGCATCAATAAATCGATTTATGAAATGAGATTCGCGATTTTATAAATTTATTTTATGCCTTCGAATAAACTGTGTTATGACTAAGTTATAATTAGATGGAAGAAATACAAGGAAGCTAATTAGGGATGTAATTTATGTTTTTTTTGTTTAAATTTATGTAATTTATGTTTGTACGTTGAAAAATCTTAAAATACTTCTTCCTCTGTATTTTTTTAACCACTACATAATTAAATAAATAAATAAACTATATATTTCATAATCTGTGACAGGAACATCCTAAATCAAATAATGAAGTGCATGTTGATTTATACGATAATGATGTACGAATCACATATATCTCCATTCTAAAAAATCACAGGAAAATTTTTGTTATTTGAAAGAGGAAAACAAGGAAATCCAATAAATGGAAATACCAAGTGTGATTTATGACACTCGACATTTCCCTTTAATTGAGATACTGAACATAAGTTATCATTGATGAAAAAATACAAACAAAGTTCAAAATTAAAACAACAGGGGAAACAGATTTATGTGGTAACAGTGAAGGCAACATAATTCCAATAGAAATTCCACTAAATTGCTTGGTGAAAGAAACATAACAAGGTTCGAAAACTAAAGCACTAAATATCAATAACGATGTCAGTGCATAAGCTGCAAGCAATAATACACCCTGAGTCACATGCAACATTTCACGTTTTCCAATAGGGGTTGAAACTATAGCTAAACTACAATTCGCCGAGAAGAAATATAGCGAGGATCGAAATTAAAGCATCAACGATGCCAATTTATGTAGTAACACCCTGGATTGCATGCTGGACAACCTACGCTTTCCAATAGGGGGTTTGCATCTAGCTAAGGTGATGGAAGAAATATAGCAAGAGTATTTAATTCAAAGCATGAATTAAAGATACCTATTTATACAATAACATCGGATTTATACAATACCGCATGCGATATTTCGTGTTAATAGGAAGCGAATTAATTCTTACTTTTGACATGATATTACATAACTACCAAAATTATAACAATATATATGTATATAATGTATATTGACAATAAATATAATTCAATATAAAATAAGAGTATTCGTTTTATTCTAACCTAACCTATATATATCTATCTAATATATATCTAATATATAATAATATATCTAATATATATATCTAAAAGCTATCACACGAAATTAACAATAATCGGTTCCAAAAACTTTTGACATCCACGTAGGCGGACACGGTAGCTTTGAACTCGCGGAAATCTTCCTTTGGATCCTTGGCCCAGATATTTCCTGCACGTGATCGAACGCCTGGTCAGCTTTTGCACGTAATCGACCGACCCCCTCCTCCCTCCTCCCTGTTATAGAATAAGGAAACGATGACAACACTGAACCGAAAGGATCGAGATGGAAAATCGCGCCGCAACGCGGACATTCCTCCGTCGAAAACGATTCGATACTATTCAATTCGATTCCATTTGACCCGATTCAACCCTGGTGAACCGGTGATACAAGACACTCGAATGGGGCATATTGAATGTCGTCTCTGAAACGATCGACAGTATCGCGTTCCGATACCCCATTTGACACATGGCATTCTTTTTTTTCCTCTCTTTTCAGAGATTGGAAATAAAGTGGAAGATTGATATACAGTGGAACTGGGATTACTGAAATTTACAGGGGAGTGGGTGGACACTTTTTATTTGAAGTGGAAATAAACACCTGAAACAAATAATAATTGTTATTTGAATATTTCAGATATTCTTTTTGTCTTTTTATATTTTTTTTTTGTTTTTTTTTTAATTATAGAGAATGAGAAATTACCTTCATTATTTGGAATATTTTAAAAATATTAAAAGTTTATCACATATATATATATATATGTTGTAAAAAGAATAACGTACAATTGAAAATATTTTTCAAAGAAATGATTATCTACTATATTTCAACACTTTATCGGAAGTAAAGAAAAAGCAATGATTAGGAAAGAGAAAACAAACTGAGATAAAATGAACAGGAATTTACGCATGAATATTTATGAGGCAACGGGTTAACGCAGACACTTCATTAAAAATTCCCAACTTTAACCTTGGCTCTAGTTAAATCTTAAGAAATTAGCAATGAGTGGCCGCGATCAGAGAATATCGATCGACGTCTCTCACTTGAACGGTTTATTTTTATTTCCTTAATTATCCGATGACGGTGAGTAATTATCGGAGAAAGTGCACTTCGCTTTGAATAGTGGTGCCTGTTGATAATCCGCGGTATTAGAGGCCAGCCTCGATATTCTAGTGCATCATCGATCTAGGAGATTTCTCCCGCAATATTTCTAGTTTCATTTCAATGAATGAACGAAACAAATTTGAGATCCATCTCATGGATTGATTCCAGATTGACTTTGCACTCGGCTATAGCTAGAGCAGTAATAATTAACATATTACATCATTTAAAACGATAATAATCGACTGAAGTTAAAAATCAAGCAATGAAATAATGTATATAAAATTATATCTTATTATAAAATATAAAAATGATTTCATTACCGCACACAATAGAATTTTTATCACAATTAAAAATCGATTGATATCGATATATCGGTTTGAAGAGAATATCCTAATCGATTCAATTCAAAATAATATTTGTAAATTTATTAATATAACAAAACATGAAATATCCGACAATTATGTTAACTTTTTCTACATTTATAAAAATTCATCATAGAAAATTTTCAAAAATTTTCAAAAGCTTCGTATATGTATAATACAGTGTCGCCATCGCAGTTAACCTAGCGAATTCGCGGATAAAAATCACTAGTAATGGTAGTAGCATTAATGGCGTTTCCACAATTAATGCGCGCGTTAACGATACACCGATTATGATGCATTATGTCAAAATGCAAAATAACAAACGCATGCTCACCTGCTTCACAACAAGTGACTCGAGAAGGCAAATTTCGAAGAACAAATCGTGATAGAAAATAAAAGTAAAAAATTACTTGTCAGCTATTCGTTGAAAGAAAAAGAAATTCACAATAAATAAATTTATAATTCAATCGCGGCTCCATTTTGATTTTCTACTATTAAACGCAATAACGAAATTCTTTTATGATTCTTTTTTTTTTCTTTTAACAATTAAAGAGCAAGGTGATTCGTAAACGTCATCATCACGTTATCACTCTACCTAAACTTATTATGTATTACATTCGAGATCGACTATCGATTCAATATGTTTACGAAAACATATGCTATTATTATAGATTAATATATTAATTACCACGTAATCTCTAAATTTGATACTTTGTATACAAAAATTATTTAAATATCGTATTACTTATTATATGCAAATATAAAATATAATATTTATTGCAATTTATAAATATATAAAAAATTGATTTGTATTTGTATATATTTGTAATGATATTTATTTGTACAATATTTTGCAACAAAGTAATAAATTTAGAGATAATATAGTATCTAAATTAAAGATGAATAATTATACATATGAAATGAAATATATACTATATATGCTATATCGATAAATCGAAAAATTAATAAAAAAATAAAGAATCGCAAACGAGTTTCAATTTGTTATCAAGCTCAGATAATATAGAAGTCAATCGAGATAGCCGTGAAGTCAAAACGAAACACGAAAAGGACGAATCGCGTATCTAATCGATCGAAATTCGATGTCCGAAGGTCATCGCAAGTAACGTCACTTCAAGCATTTTAGTCACATGTTTGCTCTTTGTCACGCGGTTTTACCGTACGACAACTAACAACAACCATGAGTTCCGTTTTCTTTGCAAAACGAACAAAAACGGAAGAGAAACATGTAAAATGAACGGATTTGAATTCGGGAATTTTAACGAAATTCGCTCGTGAAGAATATTTGTCGTCAAAGAATTCGCGAGATAGGATAAGTAGCACAACGATGTCTGAAATAAGAATCCGTGACTTTACGGATTTTATTTTGGACAAAGGAATAACAAAGATTCAACTAGTAAACACTACAGAAGTAGAACTTGTAAGCTACAAACTCTCTTTTTTATCTCATGCATGCTTCCTTTCGAATAGATAGAACCGATACAAATTTGAGATAAGAGAACATGAGAAGATAACGAAACTCATATCAAATGGCAGGTGAAAACACCATCATCCAGTGGACCATAGAAAAAACGTCACTGTCAAAATGTACTCCGATCGTAAAACGTTATCGAAAGTTGATTTTAGAATCGCCAACCGATAATACTATATTCCAATACGCACCAATAACGGCAAACAATGGAATAATAATGGAAGAAAAGATCATAAAATAATGATATTTATTTTAAAAATACATACCTCTACGATTGAACGGCCGAACCCGAACGGCAACCTTTATTTTATCCGTAGCCATGATTTCACACCGGTAACGCGCACTGTATATCCCGATCACAAGGAACAACTCAATGCTTTTGAATACACAAATATAATATTCACACGATCTTCATAGCGCTACATTATTCTCAACCCATTCCGCGAACTTTTCATCTTTTCAAACGACACTACGTCTCACCGAGCCCATGACACACTTCGCCATATTGCTTGAAGCTTGTCGTGCGCCAGACGACAATCGTCCTATCGAGTGAACGTACTTCTAAGAACTGCCGCTAGGAACGCTCGAGAGCTTCGAGTCCTGTGACGTCACGTGTCCTGCCGTCTACCATCTAGTGGTCAAATATGAAACTAAAAGTTTCAATCGCAAGTTATCAATCGATAAAAAGATTTTGAATACAAATCCCCGCGCTATTCAAAATATGCAAATATATTTTCTTCTTCTGAAAAAGTTTCGCATATTTTATTTATTGAAAAAAATTACTATATATGATAGAATAAATATAAAAACTACTTATGTTTTAACAAATTATAAAATTTTAAAAAATTATTCTAAATAAAAATAAAAATATTACATTGATTAATAATATTGTTTGATTATTTCGTATCCTATTATATAATATGAAAATATAATATATAATAAAATATAATATATAAAATATAATATATAATATATTAAAATATAATATATAATATATATAATATATAATATTATATATTATAATTTAATTTATATATATAAATTTAGCAATTTAATAATAATATATAAATTTTTACATAAATAGTTGAAAGATACTTTGAATATATTTATAGATAAATTAGAACTATACATTTCTTTTCTTTCTCTTCAAGTAGTTGAATATTAATTGCTGTATTAAATTTATGTCGTAAACAGCAAATTCTTTTTTTTTTCTTTTTAATCTTCACTCGATATTTTAAATTATCAAAAATTGGTAACAAAATACATGAGATAACTGACATCTTATGAAATTTTGCATCATATATTCTGAAATACCGACTTTGAAAAGATTAGAGTGTTTTTTACGCCTTCTGCAATTTTTTATGACTAATATAAAAATTACATTCAAATCATTTGAAAACGATATACAGTAGTGCCTCCTAAAAAAGACACTAATTTGAGACTAGCTATTGCCAATTATAGAGAAAGTACAAATTTGGACTAAAAAATTTAAATTTTTTATAAATCTAATGATTCTGTTTCGATAAAAAAATAAAAATTTATATAGAATAAAAGATTACCTTTTCATGTGAAAGATGATTCCATTATTTTCTTGATGAATTGACTCTAATAATATCGAATTCTAAAATAATATCAAAAACATATAATTAAAAAATAAAATATAAAATTAAAAAGTAAATAAAACAATATTAATTCGTCCATTTAAATTATAATCAATGAATAAACATTGACTTTATTTTCGCAAATAACTATTAAAATTCAATTTAATTAAATCTATCATGTTTTAAAAACTATGAAAAATATGTATTGTAATATAGTATAATAAATGCTAATTCAAATAACTATATTGCGCACAATTATTTATGAATGTTGAAATTTTTCTTACCTTATAACACAAAATTAAACTGTAACAAAAAAAATAAAAAATTTTAAAATAAAATATATTTACAAAAATGTTTATATTAAAATAAAACAAGAAAAATATTAAAATTTCATCTTAAAAGTTCGTAATAGAAACTACATGTTATTTATAATCAAATAAATCATTAAAAAAAATAATTTAATCCAGATAAAATCAATTATATTCTATCTATTATTAATTAATATTAATACACATTTTTTATTCATTTTATCAATATATATTTTTATCATAATATTATTCTATTAATAAGTTATAAGTTATAAATTAATAAGTTATTATTAATATAATAATATTATGAATGATAAAAAATATGTATTACATGTGCATAAACATAAACCTCTAATTTCTTGAAAAAAATTATGTCCCAAAGAATGTTTTTAGAATAGATACACGTATTCATGTATATACATAATAGAAAAAGACAGATATATAAATAACATAAAATTACTATGCAGATAGATCTATTTATAAACAAAACATACATCATTTCAATAATTTAATTTTACGAAATAAAATTAATTATAATAAACTCATTACTTTTGTTTTTAATATGATTAAAAAAATAAAATCTATACATACTTTTGATAAAAGAAATAAAATCTTACCAAATTTGCAGGAAAGTCATTGACAAATCATCGTACATTTTATATATGCTCTAAACTATTATTTCTCCGATATCGATCTAAAAATAACGATAATTTGTATAAATAAAAATCATAAATCATAAAATTCAAAATAATATAATAAATTCAACTTAAATCCTAACTTAAAAATTTATAATACAATTTATCGATAACAATCAAAAATTATCAAAATAAAACGATACTAAAGTTTACGAAACTATTTAATTTTGATATATTTAATAAATAATTAATAAATAATTAATAAATAATTAAATGATATAATTAAATAATTTCTAATTGTTTATAAATTATAAAAGAATACGTATTAATAAAAATTTTACGCAATTACTTACCTCTGCCGGCGTAATATGTCCTATCAACACGATTTTCGGCGGTAGAATGACATGTCGCTGCGCAGCTTCGCCTTATTGTTATTCTATTGGCCGGAATGTTATGGTTTCTTATTCGCTTATAATCGCGCGCAAAATTAAATTAGTGTATAACATTTTAACTATAAATTAAAGATAATAACATATTATTAAAAATATAATAAGAATAAATTTTTTTAAATTTTACACTTACATTTTTTTACTGTTATATTTTTTTATTTATTATAATATTTTATAGTATATATTATATATAATATTTATACATTTTTTCTATTCTAAAATATAATTTAACATTATTATTTTATATTTATTTAGTATAATTTTTTTCATTTTCTTCGAATTTATATTTTTATGATAAAATATAAATTATAAAATATTAATGATATAAGATTAGAAAATTATAAAATTAATACTTTACTTTAATTTATAGTTTATTTATAATTTCACATTTATTTAAAATTTAAATTCTAATTATCATTAATATAAAAATTTCTAGATAGTAATTTTCAAAAAGCGTTTTTTGGCAAAAATTAATTTTTCTCAAATTAAATTTTTTATTATAAAATATTGAAATATAAAAAGATACAATACATTTTACTTTTCTTGTGATAAAATTAATATATTAAATAATAAATTCCATATTGAATTTTCGATATCTCGAATTATATATCGAAAACATTTCGACATTATCAGCTATATCGATAAAATTCTCGATAGCCTTTTTACATACTATACACTTCTTATTAATAATTTTGGCGGTATGTGTTAAATCGATTTATTTTTAGATAACTATTAATTTTTTCTAAACTATAAAAATATAAATGTGTTTTATTTTATAAGTCTCATCAATTTAAAATATCATCAATGATTATTAAACTTGCTAAAGTAATAAGTTGTTCTTCAGAACACTCATCCTATCCTGTTTCTAATCTTTTGCAACATCGTTCAAATTCTTCATGGCGTTGTGCCAAACCTGGAGAAATGCTTGCTACTGTTATATTTCAAATGGCAGAACCATCTTGTATTACTGGTTTAGACATTGGCAATTATCGTAGTTGTGTAGTAGTTGTTACTGCTTCTACTTCATCGGAGCCTGACAATTGGATTCCTATTGTAAATCATCAATTTTTAACACATGATGAAGCTGTCAATGGCCAATTTAAAGATCAAGTACAGATATTTGCAAAAAAAGATCTTAATCCAGACACATTAAAAATAAAGTTTGATCGTGTAAAAGTAACTTGCATGCAATCTGCAAATTTAAAAGAATTATTTGGATTATCTTTTATTGTATTGAAAACAGAAGTTGTAGTTGATTTAGGGTTAGATATTTTTGGAAGATTTAAATTGAAAAATCCAGAAGAAGATACTGACAAATTAATAGATAATTTAAAAGAAAAATATATGAAAATGATAAACAATAAAAAACCAGATTATAAAAGTGAATTACTTGCAAAGATTAAAGAAACTAGTATGAATAATTTTTCTATACGACAAGAAGAGAATAGAGAACCAATGAAAAGACCACTATTGGAAAAATTAGAAGCTGGAAAAAAAGAAGAAGTATTTGGAACTAAAAAAAAAGAATCTAATAGTTCAATTTCAATAAATGATTCTAAACAAAAAAATAAAAAAATTGAAAATGATAAACCAGTAATAAGAACTCCATTTGGTGATATTGTATCTTCACCTTCATTTAAAATAAATAAAAAAGATACAAAAAAGAACGAAAACCAAAAATATAGTAATATAAATAGTAAAAAACGTTCTTTAAGTCCTGAAGAAGGTTCATCAAAAGAAAATATAAATAAAAAAAAACAAGATTGTCCTCAATGTCAAGATGAATCTGAAAATAAAATATGCAATAATTGTGGATTATTATCAAAACCTAAACTAACAACCAGGTCAGAAAAAGTTGCAAAAAAGCAAGATAATCAAAGACCAAAAAAATTATTTTCAAAGCTTTTTGAAGATGTATCATTTTCACTTAGTGGTTATGTTAATCCACAGAGAGATGAAATTAGGAAAAAGGCTCTTCAAATGGGAGCAAAATATGTTGCTGATCCCAATACAACTAATAAAAAATGCTCTCATTTAATTTGTGCCTTTAAAAATACACCAAAGCATCAACAATTAAAGAACTATTCTAAAATTGTTACACACAATTTTATTGAAGATTGTTTTAATGAAAAGAAAAGGTATAATAAATTATAATTCTAATCTATAGTACAATAAAACAAATAAAAATATTATATAATTTTTTAAATTTTGTTTTAGATTTCCTTGGAGGCGTTATGCTTTGGATATCAAAGATAAATCTGAACCTGAAAGTGAAGAAGAAATTTTAGGTAGTTCATCTCCACCTAGAATAATTAATGCATTTGATCAAGATACTGATTCAGATTCTAATTATTAAGATGAATATTTTCTAATATAATATGTTTATATTATCTTCTAAAGCAGAATCTAATATGTACATAATAAAAATATTAAATAAATTAATTTTTGTAAAAAATTTACTTATTATTAATAACACATAAAATTTCTATAATATTGATAATAATAAATCTTATTACATAAAAATTTGTAATATATTCTTTCACATTTTATAATAAATATTTATATAAAATTCTATGTTTTAACAAAAATCTACGTATCTTAGATACCATAACAAAAATTTGAATTTAGAAATGTGAAATTTAAAAAATTCAATTGTTTGGCGGTAATGCAACAAAATTACACAATGATTTAATTACATAAAATTTTAACTAATAAATTTAAAAAATTAAAAATGAGATTCATATTTATTTTTAGCAATTATAATATATAATATGTAAATTACCAAAAAAATATTTTACTATCCGGAAAGCAAATCGTCAATTGCATTGAAACACCAATGGCGTAAATACAAATCGAGAAACTTCAAAACTTGTTTGTCACTAAGTGTTAAAATGGTTGATACAAATAATATATTTGGTTTTGAACTTTTCCAAGAAATATACAATAAACAAATTACAAAAAAGGAGGATTTATTAATTCTGTTCATTCATTGGTATCTTATAAAACAGGGATTTAGATGCATTGGAATCGGCGATTCTGTAAGTTACTAAAGAACTCTTGTTTTTACAAACTATTGCGCAATTATAGAATTTTTTATAATAATTTTTCAGCATAATCTATTTGTATAAATAAGAAATTAAATTATAAGAAGTTACTAAAATTTTATAATACATAACCTATATTAATTATATGTCAATTATGATAAATAATTTAATTAATTAAATAATAATTTTATTGTAATTACATATTGTCATGATTTAAATTCACAAAAATTATAACATAAAATATATAAATATATATTAATTTTCTTATAATAATTTTTGGTTGTAGAAAGTATTTGAACCATCAGAAAAAGGATCACAATTACTTCCAGAAGGATGGAACATGCAACCAAGTTATACATTACGTTACATAAATAATGGAAAATTATTCATATTCCATGGTATAAAATCTGATGAAGATCTACTTGTAAATTTATTGGTAATTTAAATAATAATCTTTTAAATGAAGAGTGACAAAATAATATTTATGAATATTCTATTTTACAGAAAATTCATGATCAAAAAGTATCTAGCATTCAGTTTCCAATTAATCAAACTATAAATGATCTCCATGGAACATTGGAAGTTGTAATACCTTCATATCAAAATATTATAAATATAATTCAAACAGATATTATAGATACATTAATTCCTAGTAATACAACAGAAAATTCTACTCAAACAATATATAATACACCTGAAGATGATTCATTAAGGGGTGATCCATTAAGGGTATTGCCACAATCTTCATTTGCATCATCACAATGGTAATACTCGCATCGATTCATAAAAAAATTGATCTTATCATAAAAAGTTTAATTAAAAATCTCTGTTTTAATTATAATTAAATAAAAGGCCTGACAGGGAGACAAAAAAAAGAGAATCGATGCGATTTCAATTGTATTAAATTTGAAAATAATATGTGAAACATCTTTACAGAATTTTCATAATGATGATATAAATCTGGATGACTTTGTATCAATTTTTGAATTATGAATCTTAACCATTTAATTTCAAGCATGAAAAAATAATCTCTTTTTTCGAAAAAGTCAGAATTAAGTCTTATATTTCACTACTATTGATCCCGCAAACGTAATTGGTATAAATATTTTTATTATCTCCATGACATGCCTAAAATAATTACATTTTCTTTTTTCAATATAATATTTTCTTATATAGCAAATAATATCTTTATATATTTCTTAAAAAAATATTTAATTAAAATTTTTATTTAAAATTTTAAAGGCGTCCTGCAGTTGATCCTACAAATGTAGGAGCCGCAGATTTAAATCCATTAGGACGCGGCGGTGGTATGATTTTTGATCCATTTTCACCGCAACGTAATCGTATAGATCCATATAGACCAGCTTTAGGAGTTCCTGGCAGATTACCATCGTAAGTTAATAAAATAATGATAATATTTTATTTTAATTTGCATATAAAAAATATTAAAAAATTATCTTATTACAGTGGCGCGGTTCCGCCGTTTGCAAGATTCGATCCTTTTGGTCCACCAGATCTTGATCCACCAAGACCACGACGTGATCCAGATAATGATCATTTACCTCCTCCAGGATACAATGATATGTTTATGTAAAATGAACAAAATGTAACGAAAAATATATCGCTAAGATTTATTATTATACACTTTATTTTTATCTTATTCGAAATATATGATTATATAAAAAAAAAATTAAATTTAATGAAGCAATATTAAATAAACGATTTTACTTCTATGTAAAAAAAAGATTTTTGAAAAATATTTTAACGATGCGTAACAACGACACTCATTCATTTTATTCTATTATTATGTTTTATTTTTATATATATCTTAATAAATGATATATAATAAAAATATATAAACTGTTATCTTGTTTTTTTATTAAAAATATTTTAAACTTTTTTGATTCCTTTGTTATTATAATTTATATAAATGCAATAAAATAAATACGGATAAAGAAAACATATAGAGAAAAATATATCAAAAATTATGATATCAGCGCCATCTCTAATGTGCCTTAGACAAAAAAAAAGCATAGACAAGGAGAATAAATAAGGAGAAAAAGATAGATAAAGTGAGAATTCATTTTTAGCGCCATCTCTTGAGTACTAAAGAATTTTAAATTTGTATAACTTTCAAGAGATGACGCCAGCAGTCATTTCTTATTCTATTTCTATTCTTTTCTTATTATTTTCTCTCTTTGTTATATTAGTTTCATTTGCGCCACTCCAGAGATGGCGCTGATTTTCTAATTTTTATCCTATCTCTATCCTTTTCTTTATTTGTTCTCTTTGTCTATATTAGTTTCTTTCTGAATATAACTGCCTAATTTTTTCCCTATCTCTACCACAAACAAAATATTTCATGGGATGTTAATTGAACACACATTCATCATTTCTCTTCCAAAACTACAATGTGCCTTAATCTTTAATATAAAAAATATAGATATTACATTTTTAGTTTTACAATGTATCTCTACAATGTCAACCTCGTAAAACAATATATCCTGATATATAATCCTCGATAACAACGAATTTAAACAAATAAAAGTCTAGCCCAATAATAAATGAAGTAGGACAAAATTTTGAAACAATTTATCAAAAAATGATTTATTTATAAAATTATTGAAATTTAATTTTAATTTCGACCATTATTAACATTGCAATTTTAATTTGAATCGAATCAATAACGTTGAAAATAATACTAAAATGAATTTAAGAAAATCCTAATGTTTCTACGAGGCATGGGACAAAAGTATATATCGAATGTTAAGTCTATTTTATATCTCGTCTATAGTTTAATGCTTTTGTTTTTCGTTGATTGACATTGATTAATTGAGATAACGATATAATTAAAACAACTTCATTAAGATAAAGATAAGACATAATGGCATAAAATCTTAGCTTATTACGAAACTCTCTCAGAATACAATATATTCATGTAAAATGAATACATAAAATATATCGATTTAGATCATAATTATTACATATTATTATTATTATTATTATTATTATAAATATTTCTAATTTTGCAAAAAAGAGAAAAAATGGAAAAGAATAATTATTTTAAATAAACAATTCCATTTGTTTGCAAAAGAAAGATCGCAAAGAGATATTTTATTTTGGCAACGCATCAGACATATATGTAAGTGATACATCACAAAATATTTCTTCACAAAACGACTTCCATTCTTTTTTATTTCATTACTGATGTTTTACAATATAACAAAATTCTTCATTTAATTTAATCAATTAATACAGCAGTAGGTAGGAAATTACATTAACAAATCAAATATATAATAATAGTAATTCTTGTTTAAATTGCGCTAACTCGTTAAATTTATTTTTTGCATAATCGATTCGAAAGGAGTGACTGTTCTTACTTCATTACGTCGGTTCAAAATAGAGGATTTCTTTGCTACCTAAGTTGTTCCTGTTCTTGTTATTCACATGAATTGAAACATTTTCTTTTTAACATAAAATAGAATCATCGTATGAAACGATTTTCTCAATCGCTATTTTTTTTTTCAAAAAAATAAAATAAAATTTGATAGCTTCGATTCAATTCTTCGAGAATAAAAGTTTTTTTTTCTTCTTCTAATATTCTGTGACTACGCGAAATAGTAAATATTCAGATCAAAATATGTCTCTAAATATAATTTTAAATAATCTACGAATGCCCATTGATTATTCGATTTAAAAATGTGGGCTCTAACCTTGAAAAGATTTTTAAACGTCATTTTCACAGGTAGCACGTTTTCAATAAGCCCAATCATTAATCCCTTCTAATTTTCGATTTTTTTTTCGCAAAAAATGTATCACAGATAAAATATGTTCACTCATATACGTAATTACTTCACTACAATGAAGTATAACCGCTTGAAGAAGTGAATCGACGTGCAAAATTAATTTCCACATGATAAAAATTCGTTGGTAACTTTTACAATCAATTGCTAGGTATACCTAATTAAAGTATCAATATCTTACTTTAAAAAAAAATCATATTCAAAAAGAAGAAATAAAGAACATTTCACCGATTATGATAATTGTTACAATAATCTACGGAGAAAAAAAATTGAATAATTAGAAGATTATTGAATTTCGGATCTAAGGCTCGATAATTTTTCTTTTTTTTTACGAATATCCCTCGTCCCATCCTCTGGTAAAAAATATTGCAGTTTTTTTAACATTACAAAAAAGGAGCTGTACCAGGTTCAAATTTCATTTCGAGTCTGCGATTATGGTGAATGTACAACAGTTATAGATGATATTTAAAAATTATGCACAAAAAGGACGAATATTTTATCATTGGCGTATCATGCAATGAATTCATCATTAGTCAATAATCTCGTAGAAAAACGTCATTCAGGATTCTTATACACTAATCATCAAAAATGAAAAAAAAAAAAAAAAAAAAAAAAAAAAAAAAAAAAAAAAAAAAAAAAAAAAAAATACAAACATCGACTATGATAATTCGTCACATCACTCTTGTATACAACCATTGCTATAAGCACAAGAAACGATTATAAACACAATTCTATGTATTATAATACAAAAACGTACATTCACATTAAATCGTCAGACTTATGAAATGATCTAAGTATTACATTCATTAGTTTAGGAGCGAATTTTTTTTCTATCTTTTGAACACAGTTTAGTGTGGCGTACAGCATCACCGACAATTTTACCAAAATTGCGAATACGATTACAATATATGCTTCACACAAAATGCGTATGCAGCTTTTTAAAATTTATCGAATAAAAGTGGATGTTTTAAAAAATTTTGGTGAAATTGCCGTTAAGCTACGATAAAAGTGATATATAACTCTGGAGTGATTTTCTTTCTTCACTTTGTTTCGCAATATTCGTTATTTCAAGTTAACGCAGATTCCAAGTCCAGTAAGAGTTAAGAACACTCATCAATTCGGCATGCCACTGGAAATGCAACACAATTTTTTTTTTATTTAAGAGTTATATTTTAAAAATTAATGTTTACAAATTTTAAATACCTGTACACTTTTATTAAATCGTTTTATTTTATACAAATTTCGGTTTTTTTTTTTACAAGTGTGGTAAGTATATGAAAATATATGTCACAAGTTCAACGTTGATTTCTAACAATGTATTAAATTTGATTTGATAGTATAAAATAGAAAACAGTGTTATACACTGATTCAATGTCTATTACATCTATTTTTATAAATTGAATTAAATTAACAGATTGTATAAATTTATTTTTTTGACAGAGATAACATGTACTAACCACACTTTGTTAAAGATTCATGTTTTTAATACATACTATTCCAACAATTGCAAAAAAATTTATTAAGTATATATTTAAATTCTGTTTTTTTTTTTTTTTTGCTTGTGTTATATGCAAAACATCTGCAAAAAATATGTATTCAATCTCAATTTAAAAGTAAATATATTGAATTACTTAAAACTGTAGTTGATAGGATATTCATTTATTCTGGGAAACGTGAGATTTTTTTTATTGCACTAATTCTCTAAATAGCTAAATTTGATGATGGCTGAATACAATTGCAATACCAAAGGAACCATTTTCACTAAAAATCATATTATTCCAAAGATGCTTGCTCCAACCATCCTTAAAATATGTCGCATAAATAACGTATTAACTATGTTCAAAAATTAATTATCAACATTATATGTCTTATTTTATTGGACCAAGTAAATGCAGCCTTCTAGAATACTTGTACGCAATAATCTTAAATGAGATACTAAGTATTATTATAAAACGTATAAGTTGATCCAATTTTTTATTTATTATACAAATGATCAGATCCATTAAAATTTTATTACTATATATATCACGTTTAGAAGGCTTTCTCTGTTCTATAACATGTAATATTAATTTAGTATCAAAAATAAATACAAAAATTTCATAAAAGAAAAGTGCAAACAATTATATGCAATTTATTTTTATTTTAAATTGTTTCATTTATGCTGGAAAATCAAATAATGCAAAATATCATTAAAATTATTTTATAAATGGTTCGGTTGCATTTCCATTGATAGGCCAGATTCAGAACAGAGTCAATACAGTATGTCTCTTGTTATCAGGCGCGAAAACCTATACAATTAGGTATACCAATCAGTATGAATTAGTAACTTTTTAAAGAAATCGTTTGATCTATTGGACGCAGCAGGAGTTTTTTTGTCCATTTTTGAGCTTCAACCGAGACTTGGGACGATATTTCTCAAGATAGGCCAGCTGCTTTGAATTGATGGCTCCTCGTCTTTTGCTAGATAAATGAATATCATTTTTATAATTATAACAAAATAAATAATATATGAAAACTAAGAAAATTCAAATATATATACTCACTCTCTAATTAACGCGACTGCATCTTCGTATTTTAGTCCCAACTCAATAAGAGCAAGTGCAACTAAGACCGGTGCTCTACCAAGTCCTGCAACACAATGTACTGCCACACATGCATCTGGAGACTCGCGGAATCGATTTTTTAGCAATTCAAACCATTCATCGATAACCTGAAAATCGATGAAAATTTAATTATGTTATTAAAATCTAATAATTTCCATGTTATTTTAAGAATTTCTAAGATGTTATATAAAATAATAATATTTACTTCATTTGGT